GCGAGCAGTGAATCCCTCCCTCACGTTTATGAAAAATACGAGCTCTTTCCAGAATGGAGCACTAGAACCAAGATTCCCTTCTGCGAGGCTAATCTCGGCATATTTTTCGCTTGTTGGTTTCTGTTCCTTGGGCACATCAAAAAGGGTCGAATTAAAGCTTGCAATGGTGAAAGGGTGGGCCTCGAACGGCAATCGTGAGACGGACGGTAGGATAAGATAGGCAGTCTGCCCAGGCGTCCAGTGGAAATGAGACGGGCGGTGGAAACGCAACCGAACAAAATCATCTGATAGGAGTTCAGCGGTCGCATCCATAGTAGACCCTGACCTGAATCCGAAGTATGAGTGGTTAAACACCACTAGACGAAGGAAGCGGATGAAGCGGTCCAATCCCCAGATTATGAAACAGGGGTAGATCCAGAAGGTGGACCTGGTGATCATCAGTGTGGAACATTTGGGTTGTGTATTTGATAAAACTCACTCGAAATTTTGTGTGTGGAAGTAAGCACCGATGAGGAAAGTGCTGAAAAAACTTTATGAGTGCCGCAAAAACAATATAACTGGAATGAGCTCACAGAGCCGTAGCGAAATGAACGTAGAAGAAAAGTTCATATGCTTGCGCTCGGATGGGACGCAAGGAAACGATACATAGAATGGTAAATGCGACCATGGAAACTAAGCCCCATATGAGCCACTGCTCCGCGAAGTATGGTTGGAATCTGTGTCGTGTTAGTGCATTGCATTCTTAACGCATGCTACACGTACGGAGCATTTCGGACAACGTCACTGCCTGCATGAACCCAGAGCAAGATGAAAACGACTCTACACATCATGCGATGGACGTAGTTGAGCTTGAAGAAAAATCATGTTACGACAAAGCAACGACGAATATCATGAACAAATTTACCTTGTCACAGCTTATACCAGTGATTACTGCAGGCAGTCAGCAAAGCAGGTTAAGACGCGAGTACACAAGCCATACAGGACACTATGTTGTTTTTAGTTCCAAGTGCAGTGATCAGTGGGAACTGGCTCGCCGCCAGCATGCCCGAGCGGTTGCACCAGTATGAAATGTCCAATGTGTGGCCGTCGAGGTCGGTTGCTAGAAGCTTTTTCAGAATATGCGAGTGACATCGCCAGGGAACTTACTGTTGATAAATGTCCACACAAAAAGAAAAATGATGTACGCCATGGTCACAAAAACTTCAGCCATGTTGAGGGTGTAAGACTTTCCAAATTCGAGTGTCCAGCGGAAAGAGATGACACGGTATGAATTAACGAGTCCCAATGGAATGCGACGCCAAGAAAAAGCGTGACGACGGTGCACAGAAGCATGTTCTGGGTCGGAGGCGTTGGACGTTTGACGCCTCCCGGCGAACTTGGAGTGAAGGAAAGAAATCCGCTGAAAGGTGGCAATGATAAAAACGAAAAGTCCGATACAATACCACGCCTGCTTCGGGTACAGATGGTTTCGGGCGATTCGCAGAGACTCGTCGGCATCCATGAATGAAGAAGAGAGCCCAAGTAAACACACCAAGGAGTTGTTAGACTACCCTCGAAGCATGGCTCCCTTTATAGTCGACCTCCGCATGAAATTAAAAAGTAGTATGTATACAGAAGTGCCTGGCAAAATAAGTATTTCGGGCTTATCAGATAGAGGCTCGGACGAAAGAAATATCTGTTATCATGCGCACTTTGGAGGTTAGAAACCGAAACAATCAATATTTGCCGCGTTTGGAAACTCCAGTCGAAGGAATCAGTGCCTAGTATCACAAGTTCTGCTCGAGTGTCTTACGTAAGTCCACATCATTGGCACTCCGCGAAACTTTTGAATTGCACACGCGATCAGACGCGACCTCTTGGCGACCTCCACCTAAAGCCACCTGCCTAATTTGAAAGCACCAGCCCTGTCTCGAAACCTTTCAGCATCTCACAGACGGCGATCTGCTCGTTGTTCTGCATAGTTACCAAGCCACTGGCTCTCATAATGCATCCTGTTGTAAGTAAACTATCCCTCGCACAGAAGGAGGCTAATCATACATAATTGATATCCATCGCCGCGAACCTTTTACTATCCACTTTAGAGCCACTTGTGTGTATCAAAGAGAAAGAGTCCTAGTACTGGATGGGCAGAACAATTCTCGAATTCGCACGCTCATAACTCTGCGCTCTCAGCAGAATTTAAGATAACTTGCTGTCCGCATTTTTTGGAGGAAAAAACAGGTATTTTAATGATCGATCGATATTACTAGTGGTCCGAAGCTGCGTCGGAGTTTACTTCAATAGACGTCCCCCTCAATCCCCCCTGTGCCAGATCTCTGGGCGGGTCGTGTCTACACGCATGGCATGCCAGCGCCTTGCCAAGTTAACTCGTGAGTCAATTGGACCTTTTCTGGCTTCCTCCGTCGCCGCCTCACGAATGGCCTATAGGTAACTATTTTTCACGACAGAATTCGACAGATCAAGTTGGAACTTAAAATTGTACGAACTTGAAACAGTTACCCCTGTCCGAGCCTCCGAGGTCGTATTATCTGCATCCATGACAGCCGCATCCATGACAGGAAGTTCCAGTCCAGTCCATTGAAACTAATGGACATATTCGCCTGCATAATAATATCATGCTAACACTTTCGGCACCGGCGCTTGCCTTGTCATATCGGAACTGGAGGCAACCAAATAGCTGCAACTAGTCGTTCTGGTGATTGTTTGCTCCGAAACAGGCGACTCGGAGATCTGTATCTGCAAGTCAATGTGTTTTAAATATCCCACGTATCCACTCTACAATAACAAGATGTTGAGCACTTTCCGGGCAGGGACTTATGGCAATATATCTTGTCTCGTGCACTGGACACAATGGACATCTTCATCTTCACGCACCCGGTGGAAAGGTGTACCATGGAGGTAACTAGCGATGACGACGCAAGACTCACGATGCAGTTCATTCTGAAGAACAGGGAGAATCTTTCTGAATAATGCCCTAACTATTGCTATCGCTCTATCAAAACCAAGTCAAGAATTTCCCCGTAACCCGGACTATGGCCCGATTGACATGTTCGTTTCTCTCAGAATCATTGCTTGATGTGCTATTTCGTCACAATCTCAGGTTCGAGGGTCGACATAGCTTCCATGGCGGAACGAAAACAAGGGCTTATCATCAACACCGATCCATCAACAATGCAGGAAATATGCGAGCACACAGGAATGATGCGATATTTCAGCTGACCCTCTAATGCACAGAACGGTGTGTACAGCGCAGATATGTGGTGAATCGCGATTCATGCACTAGGCAACGCTTTCGTCATTTAATGCAAAACGGCCTTTGGTGTTAAAGAAATGTTGATAGCACCAGGCGCTGTCAAGTCAAAATCTTATCAGTGCCAATCAGTCAGCCAGCCAGCCTTGTGCCTCGTTCATCTACAAGGCTTACAGAAACCTAAAGTGGTCCCTAAGTGGTCCCAGGACATCTAGTTCGAGACTAGGAGTCTTACATTTTTACTGACATGTTATGATGTTCGTCCGTGGTAAAACCGCATTCGCCGCGGATCCTCTTCTGCTGCCTTGGGGATCACCGAGGGCGGGATTTTCCGATTGAGTGTGAAGAGATGTCATGTTTGGGATGGAGGCGCTACTCGAGGTACGCCATTGATTGTTCGAACCGCAAATATGGGTTCTGACACGACAGCTCGATAGGTCCTGCGCGGTGTGCCTTTGTCAGCTTTCAAGAGCACGATGACACGGGGCCTTACTAGAGCTTCTGATGAAAATGTGTTGTTGTAGTAGCTCACGTGCACGTAAGACACAACAGTTGATGCATCAGGTGCCAGATTCTGTGCCACTGGTGCCAGGTCCAGGAGCGGGATCCTGGGAGGAAGATATCGGTAAGAGGAAATAAAAACACGAGAGAAAAGAACCATTCACTAAGATAATAGGAAAGACATCTTGATTTGCGATATCTTGGGGCGTCTTATTCAACCTGAGAGGCAACTCTCCGAATTATAACGATGCCTCTGTCTTCAATTGCCCGCGCAACTTTTCGTCCAGCAGCCCACCCGGGATGTTGACATGGATTTTTGGGTCTAATTTCTTGTTTGCGGTTCGTTTGAACACAAGCACAGTGTATCCTGCCATCATGCGATTATCGATTAGCGCTGGCTTACACAACACGGCGATGCTCGGGCAGGTCCGAGTCTAGCGCAAGCTACTTATTTGGGTCCCCTGATTGTTAACGTTCACCGGAGCTGTTTGCCTTTGTTCTTAGATTGATTTAGAAAGATTAGCGCAGACACATCATCCGCACTGACTACACATTCGCACAGCTATGCACTGCTGCATGATGCCAAACCAATCATATGAAGAAAAACTAGATTCAGAGCCAGGTGCGCAATACGGCACCCCCTTGAAAATAGTATCGCACCCGGTGCCCATCGAAAAACATACTAAAAATAATCACGAACACCGAACAGACTCGAGTCACTCAGTAACTCCGGCGTGTCTAACACACTCGAACACATCAGCTTTCAGCAGATCGCCGTATCGAACCTTGCCGATCAAATATGGCCATCTAAGATGGGCGGGTCCTTTCTGTTAGGCACAATTCACGATGTGGATCAGTCTAGATACCCCTGAGGAAGAGGAACGTAGAATGATACACCCTGACACACCTATCCAACAACACTCCCAACAATATTTCCGCCTTCTCCGGATCCTTATCTCAGACTCAACTTACTCATCTTGACAGTGAAATCTATCAAGTTGCTGGAAGTTTGGGACAGTCGACCCTGGAATATAAAGTTTAAGTGAGTAGATATTATCATTCTAGTAAGCCTTCGAAAAGGATAACGAGGCCTGGCGGGTCATGGACTCCCATGGTACACCCCATGCATCGTAAGAGCATTTTCTCCGAACGGGTGCCCCAGAGGACTGACTGCTATCTAGCACTTTATCTAGGTTTCGACTTTATCAGTTACGTTTCGTTGGTCCAAAAAAAGAACAAGCGCCAAAACTGACCACCGCAGGGGTCGAACCTGCAATCTCCTGATCGCCGTCTTATCGTAGTCAGACGCGATGCCATTTCGCCAGGCGGCCATGCTGGAATGGAGAGACTTACAGATATTTTTGGAAGCCGTCCCATGGAACACATGTACAGCCTCTACATAAAACATAATGGATAAAAGGCATAGAGGTCGTAAAGCTCGTTACTGTCCTGATATACTATTATTACAGGGGTATGGGTATAGAGTTGCATAGTATAAAGTTATCCTGCATGAACCGTCGAGGTATAAAGGATGAAAGACACTGCACCTTGTAAATTGTCTTTATATCACAGAGAGGATTCAGTCTTCACAGCACCAGTCCGTTGCGGCTCTCCAGTCGGGGGCCTCTCTAATCCAACATAAGCATACACCTGCTCGCGCGCCGCAGGCAATGAAGCCCTTAGACGGCGTTGAACATCCCCGAAACGTCCGGCTGCCTTTCTAAGCTCAAGCCTGTCCCAAGCACGAACAGCCTGCCTAAGCGAGCCACGGCGGCGCGGCAGCATCCAAGACCTTGCACGTAAGGAAGTAAACCCTAAATAAGCGCAGCCCTGGGGCTCAGTGACGGGATTTGAAGTACAAGCAGCGCGACTGACCTGACGGATTTGGAGATGCTGTAACAGTGCCTTGCTTGACGGGCTGAGGCTTTGCGGACTTGGCGCGCTTGACGAACCCCTTCAGGCACCCGTAAAACCAGAATGCGTGAAGAGGGAAGACGCAGGTCATGATGACGCCTGGACCGTACGAATCATTCGTGACATTGTGCCGGCTGACGACCATCGATGCACATAGAGATACATGAAGAACGATACGAGTCGCAAAAAACGACAATGCGAAAATCAGATCCGATCGGAAGCGAGAGTTGAGACTCGCAATGGCCAGAACGAAGGTGGGTACCTTTATCAAGTTAGCGCTCTCAATATGCAGACGTGAGCCATGAGAATTGGAGTTTCACCTCCATCACAGCACACAGTGTAAACAGATGACTCCAGCCCATACGACAGGCATACTCGACAATGAAAATGTATATCGTGTGATGAATCCAACCTGTTAGCAAGTTAACCTTGCTACGGTAGTAAGTCACACCCATCAATAGGTCTCTGATACATCATATCAGCGCACGTTTCAGGTGCTGAAATCTTGGACCTACGCGATAAGATATGCTTGAAAGAATCGACCGGTACTCTCCGTCCAGAATGTTGACTTTATCCCTCTTAAATCTCCACGAGAACTGATGTAGTGAAAGAAAAGAGGTAAACTTGACAGAGACATGGCGGCACTACTGATTGTGGTCAATATCCATGATCGTTGTTTCACGGTGGAACACAGAGGCGCAAAAATATGATAAGCCACTATCAGCGCGAGAAATGAGTACAAGAACGCAGGGGGTATCGCATCCTCGATGGACACGTCGAACATGGCACGGACGTGAAGGGGCGAGAGAAGGAACCAACTTCTCTCCAGCTCATCGAGTTGTAATTTTAAAGAACCAATGGCAGTTTATGGCACGTTTACCCATGTGCCAAGTATCAATTTTTCAAACTTCGCAGGCTGAAAACCCCATTTTGGTCAAGGACTGACTCGGGTCATCATGCATCACCCTAGAGTCTGCTACACGAACGTGAAGGGACCCTGCGGCAGTGCTATGATCAGCTTTCTGACAGGTATGGTTATCTAGCGAAGTACTACTAATAAGAGCGCCCACGACTGACTTTTGTTTGTGCACGTTGTTCGTGTCAAACGAACGTGCACGACGGTCCCAGTGAGTCACTATGCCATACAAAAGAAGCGATTCACCAGCCAATGGCGGGTATAAATATTTATTCTTGCAGCTGTACTGTCATTGCCTCGAGTCTCGACCAGCTTGACTGTCCGGTCCGTGTTCAACGAGTTTGGAACGAAGTTGACATGCCTGCCCGTCACGCGCTGTGGCTGTCTAGTAGCCCTGACAAATCTTTCATTCGTACCGTGAAAAGTATAGCATCCTCTCAATGCAACAGCACATCGCGCGGAAGCACTAAATGTTAAATAGGATAATCAAAATGATTCCATTTCATGCATTATACCCACCATGATGATGTGTGGCTGGACTTATACGCCAGGCTGGTCACTGCGGGTGCCCGTAGTCTCCCCTCGCCAGATCTTCAGGCCTGAGGCCTTGATAGTCATTTCTTCGAAGTTCTATACCAAGGGGTGCCCGATTTGTAAGTACTTCCAATAGCAATATTTACGTCGACCGTCATCGATCTCAAAACCATCTGCCTCGCTCTTTGGGGTATTTATATCCCCCGTGCGTCCTCAGTCCTTAAGTGTCATCGTCGACTACATACTCGCTGCATCTGTTATGGCGACTTTCAGCAAATCTTCCTTTGACAGCGCCATCTATGCGACTTTCAGACCGACCTACCCTAGATCCCTGTATAACTGCATATTCCAATACCACGAGCGCAATAAGGGTGCAAGATGGGATAGAGCAGTTGACCTTGGTTGTGGGACGGGTCAGTTCTAATTTGAAGGACTTGAACTATTGACATACTGTTGATGATTCGGGATTTCAGGTCAAGCAACGGTCGAGCTCACACCCTTCAAGCGCGTCACTGGCGTCGACCCAAGCTCTAAGATGATCGAAGTTGCTCAAAGTACCCTCAAGAACAAGTCAACGAGCACAGGTCAATATGAGTTTGTACAGGCGAGCGCAGAGAGTCTGCCATTCTTGGATAGCAGTGTGGATCTGGTCATTTCCGGTGCGTGTGTTAGACAGGAGAAACACGATAGCACTGTTTATTCATGATCTCTGCGTGGTTGTAGCCCAGGCATGCCATTGGTTCGATTGGAACAAAATATGGCCTGAGCTCGCAAGGGTGCTGAGGAAGGATGGGAGTGCTGCATTCTGGGTATGTAGTCCCATCTCCGAGCCATTACTTGTCCAGCCATTCTTAAATTTACTTAACTTAGGGTTACTCCAAGTTCCGCTTCACCCGCTATCCGTCACTGACACAACAGATTGATGCGTATGTCGAAGGTATTGACCCACTGAACAGCGTTGGCCCATACTGGGAGCAACCCGGCCGTTCTATTCTGGATAACCACTTGATTGAGGTACCAGAAGGCAATGAAGTTGTACCCGGCGCGTTCAGTGATTTCGAGAGAGTCTTCTTCACAGGTCTTGTCTGGCACCTATCGTTACGCGCCATTGCACTAATGCATCGCAGGCGACCACTACCCATCTCTCCCTTCCCCACGGTCCGTGATCATGCGTAAGAAGATGACGTGGGATGACCTGCTGTCTTATCTTAATACGTGGAGCGTGTTGCACACGTTCCGTCAGCACAACCCCACAGATTGGGAAACCCCGCGTGGAGATGTTGCAGTGCGGTTCTGTAAAGATCTCAAAGAGGGCGTCGAGCGGGAGGATGGGAGAGCCGTGGAAGGACATGATGAAGTAGACATTGAATTCCCATTGGCGATGATACTGGTTAAGAGAGCGTAAGATGATGCTTAGTGCTATAGTGGGCGATAGGTATTCTTTCGTTGGCGGCTCGCAGATCATCTGACTAGAGACTATCTAGGCAATCGGAAATACCATGATTCAGAAGGCGAGCAAGGCTGTTATATCTCCAAAATCAGCTTATTGAATGCAGTACTAAAAATAAGGTCTTGGACGTTAGTGGATCACTCGGCTGTTGCTGCTGAGTCTTGTCAGGGTAGCTCACCCTGGCCGCAATGACACCCTCGCCTGAATTTGGCGACTTTGCAAATTGCTATACATGATGTGGCAGCCTCTCAGTTGACGCCAGGCGGTGGCAAATCAGTACAAACAAGGTAATGGTAGTTCTGGGAATGCGTGGCAAAGCTGTAGGTCCACAAGTTATTGATCTTTACTCCTTCAACTCAGGCACGGCAAAATCAAATCGGCTTCACTCTTCAGTGTGACAGTCTGGACAGGAGTGCCCTTCAGGAAGGAATTATGGACACAATGCGTGCGCCCTGCTGTCTACCGACTCCTGAGTGCCTCTTACGGAGGATCTTCTTGACATTAATATTCATGCACGACCACTTGAGGATCACATCATGACATTCGATACCGGAAAGATATGTTGGCTATGAACTGCTGTGAGCGCACTCTGCTGTAGAGATTTTACTCCTGGTAGATAACGTTAGCGATAGGTTTGACTGCTCAAATGTAAGTCAACAAATACCTGGTACCTAATGCCCATATATAGCTAGACATATCGAAGACAGATAGTCGTTCCTTCGGATTAAGAATACTAACATCTCGCTGGACCCACGTGTGCGTCGCAAGCAAGACAACTCAACGCAAACAACAAACCTCTCCTCATACCCTGTCTCCTGCAAAGGCCTTCCCACAGTATTCCAAAGCTCCATCGTGAGCCCCTCATCCTTTGCCATCTTCGTCAGCTCTGGAGAGTGGCACCTTGCCTACCGGCGCTAAATACGAGCCCCTGTAAAGTTCTCACACCGGAAAACGAGAAGCGCCTGTTAATAATTGCGGGGGGGTTACTCCCGCTTGCTCTATCGTCGAAACGAATGTTGGAATTGATTAGCGGGAACCAACCGGGATCATTCGACACTAGGGGTCATTTTCAAGGGATAGTAAGCGGTAGACTGAGTCAAATTGGTGGAACATAACGATGGTGTTCCTGCTAGATATACCAGAATATACAGCGATTCCAAGGTTCATCGCTGAAGTAGATATGATGCGAAACAATAACCGTTCTTGATCATCGACGACCTTGATCGACGCCGGAGTAGTTCTGTCGCATGAAAGCAAGTAGAAAGGAGACCGAGCAAAGCCGTTGACTACCCTTGATTGAATCAAAGTGGGTGTGGGGGTGGAATTTTGATTAATATTGTAGATCTGTGGAGCAGTGTCATAATGTTCACGCGCAGAATATTCATCTAGACACCAAGTTTCCAAAAGCTGTGAACATCGTGGAACGGTTGACCGGTTATTCCCAATGCATATGTGCCCTTGTCGAGAGGCTCTTACTATTCAGGAGTAAGCGAAATCGAGAGATCATCGGTCATCAG